TTAGCAATTGATTAGAAATGATATAAAATTGATTTCATTGAATGAATAAAATAAATTTGATAAAAAATAATTTGCACTCCTGAAAGGTAAATTCTATTCATTCACTTTCTGTAACTTCATTTATTTACTATATAAAATTAAATCAGAGTAGAATAAAATTGCAAAAACAAAACTATTAATGATAAAAAACGTTCATTTCATTTCATGTTGAACATCCATAATGTTCATACTTTGCAGATTTAGAATTTATTACTTATTGTTAGAATTTAAAAAAATGTATATATCAGTAAGAATAGAAATTACAGAATTTGAATGAAGAAGAATGAAGAATAAAATAGGAGGAAACATAAGAATGAAGAATAAAATAGGAGGAAGATAGGAGTTGAATAGAATCAGTAATTTGAAATAAAAGAGCAAAAATTGAAGAGAGAAAATGAAGAAATCAAAATTGAAAAAAAAAGATAAAAATTCAAGAAAAAAAATAATAGAACAATAAAAAATATAGAACAGGATATAAGATTGAATATGATATAAAATGTAAATAATTGATTGATAAAATAATATAAAATGTAAATAAATTAAATTTATTAAGTGGCTAAATGCTCAGAGTAAGCGAGGCCAAATAAAATTAAAAAGAAAAAAGATCAATGAAATGTGTAGAATATTGTTTACAATGTTCGTACTTTGCCAATTCTTATTTTAATATGGATTAACGTTTGCTAAAACATCCGTACTCACTGTATTTTAATAATTTTATACTGATAAAACATTTACGAAATAAATTTTACGAAAGGTAAAACAATATCTAATAAAAAAGTATCTAAAGAAAAAAATAATTTCAAGAAAGCATCTAAAAAGATAATTTCAAAAAAAAATGAAATTTAATAGCCAATTGAAGAAAGGCTTACGTAGAATCACAACGATCGGTCCAGATTTGTTTTAGAAGTTACAAGTACAAAATGCTTCATCGACCTTTTTGCCAAAAATCCTGAATCGAATTTGATAATTCAGAAACTGTATGAAAGATATCACACAAAATCGTATGAATTAGTTTTTCGTGAAAAGCGAAAACTTAATTTTCGAAATAAATAATTGAAATATTTGGTCACAATTGTAGGGAGTACGCTACAGAAAATACTTGTTCAGATAAACCAAGTTATATAAGAAAGTATATACGAATTAATTAATATGAGAAATAATTAAAAAAGAATCAACACTTTTTTTACAGCATTCAAATTAATAAACTCTAGGGTGTCACATAAATAGTACTTATACTGTAAATAAAGCAAATAGTAATAAATAAAATGTATTGACAGTAATATAAAAAAAAAAACTAATTTAGTCGAAGAATCAAGAACAAACGCTTAAAGAATGCATGCAACGAAAAATGAATGCATATATTACATATAATGGTTTTAAAAATAATGTTAATTCGGATCAATTATGTTTATAAATATAAATTATTTAAACCCACGTTTATTAAATCCAACTATCACAATTTTAAACTGGTCCTCACGAATGCAATAACGTAACTCACGCAACTAAACCAAAGATAAACAAAAGCGAGTGCTTCGGCGCCGGCTTCTTGCTGAAGACTGACATCGGGCTCACCTTCGCTTTTTCAGTGAAAGGTATTTCGTATTTCGTATTTCAAACAAAAGCAAACTTGTATTTTCTCAAACAGGGTGGGGAAACATGACGATATTAACTGATACAAATAGTTATACAGCCGACCCTCCTATAACGCGGTTTGTGCGTACCGTGTAATGTGGAAAGCGCGTTATAAAAAGAAAACTCGGATTAACCCTCCGTCAGTCGGACATTTATTTACCTTGGAACGGTCGGAGTAGTCTGGCTGGACCACCATTCATTTTAAATGCATTTATATGGGATAAATGAGTTTTTGGTGTCTTATATATTAACGATTATTAGAAGTAAATATTTATACTTTTGATTTTTTCTTTTTCTTACCGTATTTTGCATGTTTTGAGCTTGCTTATAATGAAAATATTGTATATTATATTATATTATATTTAAAAAAATCGTTGCTTTTTTTGTTAATTTTTCTGTTTTATATCAATGAAAAACAAATGAAAACGAAATGAGGTTCGTCGCCTTTGAAATGAGCTGTAAAACTCAAAGTGAAAATATAATTTCACTACAGGTTTGCCAAAAATTTTTTTGAAGTCAGTACGGGTAGAAAAATTGTTGATAATGTGCGCATTACTCATACGATTTTCAATGTTTGCGATTACCAATTTTGGAAGATTTTCAAGGAACTCTCGTCGTGAAAATACTAACATTCATATTACGGCACATAGCAAAGAATATATAAAACGCAGTTTGAATAGAAAATACCAGAAAAAATACTGGTTTACATACATCATAAAGCGTATATTTCATACAAAATGTATGGGTGGTCTAGACAGACCACTTCGACCGTTCGAAGTACTCGTATAAAAAAGTTAATATTCTTATAATTATGCTTCTGTACATTTTTTCGTCCTGATTCTTTGATTGATCGACAGCTAATGAAATTTTAGGAAAAGTCAAGAAATTTCAAGAAGATAGGATTACTAGAACTATTTTTTTTTAATTGAAGTCGAAAAAGATCTGACCAGACCACTCCGACCGACAGAGTTAAACAAGCGAATCAGGTTAATTCGTATAGTGATCTATATAAACCGCCGGATATCGCGTTGTATGGAAACCGTGCTATAAAAACTCAGAATTAGTACAAATCATCATTCGTACCGCGTTAAATGGATATCATTCAATAAAAACTTTAGAATAAATTATAGATTCATTTTCACGATTTCTTTTTAGGGCTAATATAACAAAGAACTTTTGACTTTATTCCTGGTTTCAAACAGATTTGCACTAAAGAATGTATTAAAAAAATTTAAAAATTGGCCTATAAATGTTAATTTCAGGAAAAAACAACTAACAACCTAACTTACTAAATAAAATAACATATAAATAATTGATCAATTTCAATGAAAATTTGAATATTAAACGCAAATGTATTGGAGTTTAATTACTATTATATTAAAAGCAAAAAAAGTAAAAATGTTAATAGTTTGAATGGAAAAAAGCTATATTTATAAGATATAAGAATGTATATAATATTATTAAAAAGTCTTGAATAACGTCGAGTACAGCTAGATAAGAAACATCTTTTCTAAAATAAAAATAGCCTAAGTTACCCCACTACCTACCAAAAAAAGTTCCGTTAAAATCGGTCCAGCTGCTTCAGAATTAGCCTAAAAAGATCAAGTCAATACTATCACTTTGTTTCGGCTTGATGTCAAGGTCTGAGACACCCTGTACAGTAAAACCAAAACGTCCTTATCATTCGCGGGAAATACGTTCCATAAAATAATTTTGCAAAAATTTCATTAAATAATAAATAAGGTTGTTTTCATTCTATTGGTTAATATTTTTAAAAACGAAGGCGGGTTATGTCATACTTTTCTTTATTAGTTCAAAATGACGGCATTTATAAAGGACTTTGGGTTCGATACATATTGGAATCCGCGAATAACGAAGTTTTTAGCTGCGAATATAGGAACTTCCACTGCCCTTTTTCACTATTTCACTTCACATCTTTTCCTATTACAATTAAAGAAAGGTTGAATTGCTAAATGCGTAAAAACTATCAAATTTAAATCGTTTTTATGATAAGTTTCAATGAATTTTGATTTAAAATTTACCAGAAAAAGCACATTAAATAAAGCGAAAATATATATACATGAATCAGCAAATGAATCAGCACTCGACAGTTTTAATTTCGGAGGTCTTAACTATCATTTTTATGCAATCTTTTCTATTATACAAAATTGTCTACTATATAAAGATGAGTTTAAACTCATCTTTAATTAAAATCTCAATTTTAATTAAAATTTTGAAATAATTTAGGAAAGTTTATTTTATTATCTTCGAGGAAATAGGCAAAAGACTACAGAATAATTGTTAAGTGATTATTTTTGCCATCTATAACTTCAAGTGGAAATTTGATTATGGTGCCTGATATCGTGCTGCCCAAGATTGGGATTGATTTCGGGATTATTTTGTGATAGCCCACTTCCTTAACCTTATATTCGCATACGGTTCACACTTCTTCGACTTGTTCCTCAAAGAAATTTTTAGTTGCAAGTTGCAATATTTAAACAATATTTTTAGATGTTATGTGCATTTACTGCTCTTCAGAAATATTTTATTCATATTTATTTTTATAAAAATTATGTAGGCTCCATAATTACAATAGTAATTAATTAGTGTAGATAAGTGAAAACAATAAGTCCAAGCTATTAATATTTCCTCTTAGAACACTACAATAAACCTTTTGTAAAAATATACTTCTAAAAGATTTTGTGCGCAGCTTTTCACTGAAAAATTAGGTGCCTAAAGAAATTCATAATGATTGTTAAAATATTCAAATGCGAAAACATATTATTATATAAAAATATAATATTTATTCATTGTAATCAAATCAATCATCAATATATTGAGATGCTAACATGTCTAAACTTATAATAAAATTAACTATCCCTAAAAAATTCTAAATTTTTTTATACACTTTTGTATAACAATGAGAATTATTTTTGCACCAACGTTATATTAAGAACCATGCAATTAATAAATTAATTACAATAAGGATGGTGTCTTAATAGAAAATGATGAATGTAATATTTTACCATTCTTTCGCCATACTCAACTGCCTTTACTTTTGTTTGGAACAGACAAAAAATAAAATAAATGCTTTGAAAATAAAAAAAAAGAAATAAATGCGTTTTTATTTCGGATCTCGGAAATATGAGGATTAGTGTAAATCCAAGGTACATTATTGAATTTTGTATACAAAGTACTTGAAGTATACATTTAACAAAATGCAATAAATTTGCTTAATAATACAAGAAAAATGATTGGAATTAGATTGCAACACAAGTTTTAAATCGGCGAAATCACTTCAAAATGATTCGATTACATTTTTTCCAAAGGTCAAAATGTGAAAAATAGTGATGAAATTACTGGAACTGAATTTGGATTAACAAACATTGCATGAATAAATTTTTCAAGCCAATAAAAATATGAAATCTACAGAAATTAGATTTTTTTGAAACAAATGTGTTTATTAAAATTTGTCAATTTTAATAAATTTAAAAAAATCTCAATAAGATTGTGTTTTCAACCTAAATGATTATTTATAACTCAGAAGCAAATACAAACATACAAACCATGAAACTAATAATGCCCATATGTTATAATTTTTAAATAATGAATGAAAAATAACATGTACTTAATCATTAATTGCAATAACATATGAAACAGTAAAGATGTTGTAAGGTACGCCTTCTGAGAATTTAATTGTATATATGTGTATTATATATATATATATATATATATATATATATTTATATATAAATATAATTAAAATTCATTTAAAATTTAAAATCTAAAAGATGGAAATCTCCAGTACTTCTACTTCAGTAGAAGGAACAACTTGTAACGGATTACACATAATGCTAATTTAGATTTCCATATTTTAGATTTTAAATTATAACACACTGATGATAAGACAAACCTAGTCTCAAAACGTTTGTAATATTATTATTTAATAAATTAGTGTAAAAAAGAGTGTTGTTTTTTCATATTTCTAAATTAATATCTATCCACTCAGAATATATTTGTTATATATATTGGTATATATATATATATATATATATATATATATATATATATATATATATACATTAGGGTGGTCCTTAAAATGGATGTTTTCGAACTTCCTTGCTCTCAGAGGCTCAAATGCTTTGAAATTGATACAAACAAAATTGCTGAAAGTTTTAGCTCTTATTATTAAATTTAAGACAGTGCGCAATTCAACCAAAGTTTCTTGGTTCTTTTTCCTAAGTAAATACTTATTTCATAAAATAAATCAAATTTTTATTATTTATATAAATAATAAAATAAATAATAATTTTTTTATTTATGATCAAAATAAGCAAATACAATATAATTCTCAAAATTTTAATAATCCTGTCGCTAAATTGATATAGAATTCTAAAAAAAACTAATGGAATTTTACCCATGATATTCCCATAAGAAACTTTGGTTAGAGTGCGGACTATCTTAAAGTTAATATTAGGAGCTAAAAGTTTCAGGGCATTGTTTTGTATCAATTGGAAGCGTTTGAGCCCTGGGAGGAAGAAGATTCGAAAACATCCATATTAGGGACCACCCCATGTATATTATACATAATAATAAATAGTCGCCCGAAGGCAGGTCCATGGTGCGAGAGCCACCATCTATTGTGCGATAAATATATATATTTGTATAAGCAAATAGGTATATTGTAAAATGGTCAATTCAATGAAAAAAATAACTTAATAATTTAATAATTATATAATTAGGTATCTATTGACTTTAATTTATATAGTTATATAGAAAAATTATTTTGATTTAGAAACATAACATAACATATAATATTTATATTAATATTTAAAACTGATTAATTGAATGTAACTTAGCAATATGTTTTGTCAAACATGCTTTGCTCATAAATCTCTTATCGCATGTAGCACATTTATAAGGCCTAATTCCAGAATGAACCCGCATATGAACTTGCAAATCACGTTTCATCACAAAAGCTTTGTTACAAATAGTACACTGGTGGGGCCTTATGCCAGTATGCCATCGTTTGTGTAAGAGCAATCCACAGCTATAAGCAAAACTCTTTCCGCACACATCACAGGAATAAGGCTTTTCACCACTGTGGCCCCTTATATGAATATTTAAATTATACTTAAGTTTAAAGCGTCTACCACATAAATCACATAGATATGGTCTGTCAACAGAGTGCATTTTCATATGTGTAGCTAAGTATCTTCGGAGTGCAAAAATTCTACCACAAGTTTCACATTCATAAGAGCCCCTATCTTCATGGTAAGACTTATGTGCTGCCAAATCAGCCTGATTATAAAAGCCTTTACCACACATAGGGCACTTGCATGTAATAACACCATTATGCCTAGTCATGTGACGAGCAAAAGTCATTTCATCATGGAAAACTTTTCCACAAATTTCACAATTCCTTCGGGATTCTCCAGTATGCCTTCGCATATGAATGGCCAAACCAGACTCTCTAGCAAATGTTTTTTCACATATCTCACACCTAGGTTTGAATTTTCTTGTATGTAATTTCATATGATGTAATAAAGTACTTTTAAACTTATAACTTTTACCACAAATTGTACATTGAAATGGACGTTCAGAACTATGTATTTTCATATGAGCTCTTAGCTCCCAATTTGTACAGTATGATTTATCACATAAATTACACATAAATTTTCGTATTCTTTTGTGTATTTTTTTATGCTTAGTGAAGTCATTAATATTTTCAAAATATTTACCACAGACTATGCAATTGAAAATTGATTCCGAGTTATGCCTTGTCATATGTTTTCGTAAATGTAAAGGACTTACAAAGCACAAATCACAAACAAGGCATTTATATATTCTTTTTAAAGTATGACTTATCATATGTGTATTTAGAAAAGCTGCAGTTGAAAATTTTTTGCTGCAAACGGTACAAGTATGTGATTTTATTTCACGATGGGTAACAATATGTTTTGCTAAACCTACTGCAGAGCTAAAAGTTCTGTCACATTTATCACATTTCAAAATATGCTTGACACCATGTTCCTGAATATGTTTCTGAAGATATCCGCTTACTGCATAACTCTGGTCACAATAAGGGCATTTGTAAGGATTTTCTATTAAATGTGTCCCTGTCATATGTGAAGCCCAATCCCGATTAGAGATAAAACATTTTGCACACAAAGTACATTTGAAACGATCAGTGTGCACAATCATATGGCGTTTCAGAGTAGATTCAGTCCTAAAAGTTCCTTCACATACATTACAAGTAAATGGTCTATCAGCAACATGTACACGCATATGATATTTCAGTGATCTATAAGTCGGCAAGGATTTGTCACATAACTTGCACTTGTTTAAACTAATTGCTATATTTGATGAATCAGTTTTACCCAGTTTTTCGTCGTCATTTTCTAATCGATTACTTTTTGGCTCTAATGAATTGCTCTGTGAAAAACTTTGTGGGCAACTAGTTGGAGTAGAATATAAAGTTCCTACAACGGGCACTAATAGGAACACTTTAGCATTTTTATCAACTATTTGATAATTAGTATCTGATTTTTCTACTGGCACTTTAGGTGCTATCGATCTGATGGGTTTCTTTAATTCAGGTTTTTGTTTCAAAACATTCATGTTGTGATGAGTGTCGGTTATGAACGTTTTGGTTCTAAAATAAATTCATACCTAAATTACTAATGCGATCTATGAGGTTTATGAGAGCTATTTTTATGTTTAATATAGTTTTTTTATTTAAAGAAGCATACGAAAATATAAATGACAGCTTGACATTTGTTTGCTATATTTACACCATAGAACAATGAATATAGAGGACTAATCACTACAAAAATATTTAAATTTTAAATAAGACCAAAGTCGACCAAGGCATAGAAAAAAGAAGAGTGGAGCAAGGCATAGATAAGTAAACAGCAAGGTATGTTTTATCCATAGATAAAAGAAGAGTTTTTAACCATAGATAAATAAACAGAACTTTTTTAACATAATAACACAACATAACGTTTTTAACTTCCCGAAGGAGAAGTTTATGTTTTCAACAAAAAATCCGAATCGCTAATTTTATGTTTTTTCGACGTTTCAAGCTATTTTGAGACCAAATTTGGAAAAAGTATGTGTGTGTGTGCGTGTTTTTGTATGTGTGGAACAGATTTTTTGCCGTAAATCGACGATTTCTCAAAAACGACTCGACCGATTTCAAAAGTTTATGTATCTCGATGAGGACTAGGGTTTATCAACTTTGCCCAACGATCAGCCAAGCCGTTTCTTTGTAAATAGCAGAAAAGTGAAATTTTTTTCATCTACGTTTTAGACCGCAATTCTGAATCGATTTTGAAAATTCAAAAACCGTTTGAAAGATATTGATTGGGAATCAACCTGATTAGTTTTTGGTATAGATCGGCTAAGCCGTTTTCTTGTAATAAAGTTTTATAAAAAAATTCGACGATTTCTATGATTTATTTTTTGGGACGGTAGATACCATAGTCTTACCATACTAAAAGATATATAAAATATAAATATAGACCATACTAAAATATTACCGTCCTACGACAAGTCGTTTATTTTAAAAATTCTTCAAAGTTTGCAAAAATTGGTATCGTTTTTCTGGCATATGTCAAATAGTCTTATTGAACTTACTAAAATATTACGACCTTACAACAGGTAGTTTAATTTTAAAAACTCATCAAAGTTTGAGACAATAAGTAGTTTTTTTGACGTATATTAAAATTAAAATTAGACGATTTTCTTGTGGTATAACAATGTGTTCGTTCGTTTTCAATGATATGTGATAAATCCACTCGAAATACTATTAATTACTCATAAATTAATTTATGTTTTATTGATTAACTTGCCTCAAGGCAAAATACCAATACCTACTAGTTTGGTTTTGGTTTTATCTGAGTTCATTATATTGTTTAAGACAAACGACATGTTATCAACACAAACCTTAAATATTAGTCAAGATGAGTCAAGAGTTCCAGGGTATAACATACAAATGTACATTTTGGTTACATGAGGCAGAAATCATTTTTCGCTAAATTTTAAAATGAATACTGCAGAAATAACAAAATATTATTTAAGAATGATATTGCAATTTCATTACTTTCCTTCAAAAGATCATTTTCGAGTTAAAATATGTAGTCCGCTTCTCGATTCGGATGTCAACCCTGCTTCACATTCATAAAATTTCATTCGGTCAAGTTTTAAACCTGCGGGTGTTAAGCAGCGACACTGTTGAAAGTTTAGTTGGCGGGTTCTCGCATAACCAAATTAGTTTTATTGTTAGTTAGCAAACAGTTGTTTACGATTTAACATTTATTTTAATGTGAATTTTACTGCGAAATAAACTTTTACTAGTAATAAATTGTGATATAGATTAGCTTTTTTCAAATAATAATTTTTAGTGTCATTATGCCTCCAAAAAAGAAGGTAAATTGTGGTTATGAAATAATCACCGGCGTAAAAATTTATTAATAATTATTTCTTTTTAATATATACTTTTTGATACGTCCGGCAACATCTTTTTTAAGATTGAAAATTTAAGTTGCAAACAAGAAGTCTAATTAACAGTTTTACACGCACTTTAACTTTATCATCTTATGATGAATGATAAACTTAAGATAGAGATAAAACTAATATCATTTTCTATTGTTTAATACGTATAGGTGGAACAAAAGCCAGAAAGCATTGTTGAAAGACCTAGTAGATCGGCAAAGAAGAATGTAAACTATGCCGAGTCGCCTTTGGTCAAATTAAATAAGGCAGCTAAAGGTGAATTCATCTCAAATTTATATTTGATAGAATATGAAGCTAATATTAAATTTTTATTTTCAGGCGAAAAAGAACAGATAAAGACAGATAAAGCTAAGAAAGATTCTGAAGTTGATAAAATTAAGGCTCCAAAAGGTGGTAAAAGAAAAATTGATTCAGATGGTACAAAAGAAATAAAAGATTCTGATGATAAAAAAACTACCACTAAAAGAGGTAAAAAAGAAAAAGTTGAGGCGAACTCCGAAAAGTCTACAAAAACTGAAAAACCTGTTGCTAAAAAAGGCGGAAAGAGAAAAGTTGAAGAAAAAAATGATACAAAGCCTACTGAATCCAAAAGGCAGAAAGCAGCAAGCAAAAAGCCAGAAAAAAAAGATGCAAATCTAGCAGAATCAGCGCCAGAAGAAATTAAGACTAAAGTTGAGAAAGATGAAGATAAATTACAGAGTCCCGAAAATGAGACCAAAGAAGTAGAGCAAGATAACAAAAAAACATCGAAAAAAACTGCCACCAAGACCGCAAAAGGCAAGAAGGCTGTAAAGAACAGCAATGAAGTACAAGGTAATTAAAAGGATAATGAGTAGTAGACATCAATGTTGAAGCATAATGCATTGAAATATTTTATATAGAGCATTGTTTCAGTGTAGTGCTGTGTATTATTTATGTTTACTATGATTTTAGAAATTGTGACATTTATTTGAAGTTTTGTTACAAAATTTTGTAAATTTTTTGAAACCATAATAAAAATTATTACCATGATATTTAATGCCTTGTTTTCATTTGTTACATGTATTTTCAAACACAGTAAGTTCCTAATTTTATTGTTAATTTACATATACATATACCACTTACAGAAAGTATTTTCTTTAAGGAACTGATTCCAAAAGTGTCATAGATTCAGTGCCCACACCAGAAATTGTAGATTGCACTAGGCAGTCAGCAAATGGTGATAATTGGAATGTGAAAATATGTTCATGGAATGTAGATGGTATTCGAGCATGGGCAGAGAAAAAGGGTGTCGATTTCTTGAAGATTGAAAATCCAGACATTATATGTCTGCAGGTGAGTTGTTATCGAAATGTAGCTCAAGATGTAAGAAATTAACTGCTTTTTATAAACTACTTATATGCGCATACCTAATTAATTCAAATTCATCAAGAAAACAAATTTAAATTTATCCTGCTACTCTGAGCATATATTAATAATCCCATACTGCACAAAATTGACTAGATTAATTTTCATTACTTGTGGATCAGAAACTGAAATGAAAATAATGTTTCCCATTAGATGTTATCTGCTTTTGTTGGGAATCAAGCCAACTCATTAACTTGTCTTCAAACTAGGCTCCTTATATGGTACAACAAGTTTTTAATAAGAAATTTTCATTTTCTCAGGAAACTAGATGCCCTTTAGATAAATTGCCTAACCTTGATTTGCCAGGATATCACTTATATTGCAAGCCTGGTGAAAATAAAAAAGGATATGCTGGAGTAGCCATTTACACAAAGAAGATGGTGAGGAATATTGAGTACTCAATTGGACTTCAAGAATTTGATGAAGAAGGTATATTAAAACTTATCAAATTTATTTATCTTTATAAACATGCGGTAGAAGGCAAAAGGTGATATATTGATGCCCAATGTTATTATAGATAGGATTGCTGTAGCTGAATATAATACATTCTATCTGGTATGCGTGTACGTTCCGAATGCAGGCAGAGGATTAGTGACACTTCCCAAGCGATTAAAGTGGAACGAAGCATTTGCCGAGTATATAAAGAAACTGGACAATAAAAAACCAGTAATAATATGCGGTGATATGAATGTTGCTCATAATGAAATAGATTTAACAAATCCAAAAACAAATAAGAAAAATGCTGGATTTACCCTGGAAGAAAGGCAGGGTATGACTGATTTTTTGAGCCTAGGTTTCATAGACACATTTAGAAATCTATATCCTAATCAAAAAGATGCATACACTTTCTGGTCTTACATGAAAAACGCCAGAAGCAAAAACATAGGCTGGTGAGAACTCTTTTTGAAATAAAATTAATAATTATTAATCATTAGATATTAATCTTTATCTAACATTGTTATTTTTAGGAGATTGGATTATTTTCTTGTGTCAGAGCGCCTGGGTAAGCACATTTGTGATTCTGTAATTAGGAGCAAAGTAATGGGCAGTGATCATTGCCCAATTACTTTATTTATGTATGACCGAAGCTGGCCCGAACAATTCAAGATGGAAGTCGAGCAATAATGCTGCTTGCTTTTGAAACCTTTGGATCCTTACAACCAGCGTCTAACACATGAGGTGTGTTGAAGTGTAATTAGTCATTATGCATTTATGTTTATGTTTATGTTGTGGATTATTTATTTGTCTTTCATAGAAATGTAAATTGATGTTTCCAAAATTTTTACTAATGACTAAATGTTTACTTTTTAATTTATTGCAAGATTATTTTATATTCAGCTTATATTGAGTTTTTTTATGACTGAAACTTTTAAATTTATTTTAACTTATGTATTTAAAAAAAAAACGAATGAAAATACTAATAGTATTTATAGTATAAACACGTGATATCAAAATTTTATATTAATAAAATATAAATAAAAATGATAAATATGTGTGTTATGAGAATTACTTTCTAATACACATTTTATTGTTACAAAATAAGTTTGATTTGATTTTTTTTGCATATATAATATTTCCTACGATCTATGTAATACTGTTAATTTTCAATTAATTGATTTATTTACAAATGTATTGTAATTTAACAAATCGTTCTGAAAGTTACGATACCAATACGCTCTCCACATAGTATTATCGCCATGGTTTTCGAGTTATAGAATATGACATGGAACGTCGTACATCTTTCTGTGAAGTCTTTTCTGTTATTAAACATAAACATCATTAATGATTAGTATACGACAAAAATACAGTTAGTCTTAATGAATGATTGTTAATTTAATATTATGAAATTATAATTATCATGTATGTATCATTCTTTTAATACAAGTTTATTCTGATATTTTTGAATATTTTCTATATTAATAATTCAATTGTACCACAACTCCCAATGCATTTCTAGAAAATATGTCACCCAGGTCTGATAGCAACTAATAGAGAAAAAAAAGTTAAAATTCAAAATTTTCATGTGTTGCAACTTGAACCTGAATTTTTTTTCAGTACATTTTACATATTAAAACTCTTTATTATATAACAGATGTATATTATACATATTTTACATATAATATAGGATTATTAAGTTATATTTGTATGGTCATAAAAAATAAATAATCAATGAATATAATATTTACTTATTGAATTTAATACAGGATTGGTTAAGGGATAAAATCAAACTTTTACTGATAGCCTTCGGAATATGAAATTGAAAATGTATCCTTCATATATATTATTACTGATCCTTCATATATATTTCAATATATATAAAGCATTTCTTGCATTTTTGCTCGATACGGTTCATTTTGCAATTGAACTAGCAATGTTTTTTCTCTTATCTTTCATTAATACTAGTATAAAAATATGTACGCTAAAATACTTCATTTCATATAAATTAGTTTGAAAATCACAATTCCGTTATTCTAATTCGTTCATTCTTAATTATAAATTTGTTATTCTACATTAAACATATCAAAACTTAAAACAGCCTTAAACTAAAAAAAAATATACTTTGAGAATGAATTATAGAAAATCTAGTTGTTAGGTTGCTACATTTCTCATTCATAAATATGGCCCAATACATTTCTTCGATTCAGGTTTCATTGAATTTTTAAATTTAAATAAGAAGAATCTACTAAGGCAATATTACAAGCAATATTGTAAGTAAGAAAACCTATACAAGAGTTACTAAAAACAAGTACTAATCCAAATAGTATAACGCAATCAATTTGAACTTTATGGTTTGCTTACCACTGAACACAAAAAATAAATTTCAAAATTGGTATATATAATGTTCTTTAGATAAAATACAGTGTTTAATTGGATGTATTTCAGCATTTGAATAGTGTTTTCACAAATTCAAAATTTTTTTGAGAGAAATAGTACACATTGAAGTTTCGATAATTATTACTACTTTCGAATATTCATAATATTTGAGAACAAAACATTTTATACCATTTTTTAACCGACGGAGAAGTTTGTTTTCGCAAAAAAATCCTATTTGCTAATTTTATATTTCTACGATGTTTCAAGTAATTCTGAATCGAATGAAACCAAATTTGAACTATTAGGGCATGGCATTGTGCCTTAAAGCATATTGCTGGAACTTTCCATGAAAAACATTCGTAGATTAAAATTGATAAATAAAGAACAGAAATTATCAATGTAATTTGTTCGTTACATATCAATGATTATTGATGTGTAACGAATGAAAGTAACAATAACAGTAACAATAATAATAACAATTATTTTAGATTTTAGAAGTGTTATACTTTATGCATATATGTGCACAAACAACCACAAATTGTATTGGAATGTAAACAATAAACATACATGAATCGTATCCGATTATAGATAGCATGAAGCCATGAGATCTCGTATTTCTAAGAATTCAATAAAATAATAATAACTAGTGCTGCATGGCATCGTGCCTTAAGGCAAATTGCTGGAATTTTCCGTACCGTAATTTATAATTTTTAAATGCATTAATTTTTTTTTTTTTTTGAAAAGTTTGATTTTTTTAAAAGCAATTGCGTGGCGTAGCTGTTTTAGAAACAAAACACCAAAGCGCGGCACATCGCATCGCAGTCTAAAATTACAAGTAATTATTATTAAAATCTATAAAATATCTAATAATTTGATGTGCATATATCTAATGATTATTTTTGACCGACAAATGGCATTTTTTTAAAACTTATTTCATTGGATCTCCGAAATCGTTGGCCTGTTTTCCCAAAAATTTAATCAACTCTTCATTATATCAATACAAGTTATATGTTATTTGATTCGCATTCAGATCGGACGCTCCGTTCTATCAAAATTGCCATTTTTGTTACTTTTTACCCCGTATCTTCGAAACGGCTGGATCTGCCTTTGGCATAAATTAATCACCACGTCTTCGCATCCATACAAATCGAATCTTTTTTGAATCTGCTTTCGAAATCAAGGACGAAAAATTGTATCCAAACATACACACATACATACTACATACACACAACACACACACATACATCTATTTTTGCTAAGGTATGCCAAAATGTTCAGATGGTTCTGAAACGTAAAGATATAAAAAATTTCATTTTCGATTTTTTTGCGATTGCTATAATTTACGCTACGGGAAGTTAAAAAGATAACAAAATGCTTTAGTTTTATATAATCAATATTGACCTATGAAATCAGTATCATCATTATCGAATTATTAATTTTGTTAGAAAATTTTGTTGAATAAAAAATCGTATTTTTTCCTTAAAGCGTTCTGAAAATTTTAAAATAATTTCATTGTTTTGAGTGTTTAAGAGAGAAAAATTGCGAAAATTTGAAAAAAATATTGAATTTTGAACCTGCCTTCCCCAAAAACTAATCATTTTTTCACACCGCCAACAAGTAAAATGTTTTTCGAAACATTCAAAACGAATGATTCGTTTGATCCGATGATCTCTCAAAAACTGACCATTTTTACGATAACCATTTTATGAAAATTTTATGAAAAATAACTAGTACGTCTCGCTGTCAGTACGAATCGAATGTTTTTCGAATCACTAAAGTCGGTTGATCAATACTGCAAAAATGTTGAGAACATTTCTTTGAAGCATATAAGTGGACTTTAAAATCTTGGTACGAAATCCTTTTTTTTTAAAGAAAATTAGTAATCATTACTAAATTATATGGTTATTTGGTGTGCACAGTGGCGTACCTAGAGGGAGTTTACTTATACATAGTTGTAAAAAGCAACTTATTAATTTCATATTTATCAACTACCGTAGCGTAAGTTATAGTAATGGGCCGAATATCGAAAATGATTTTTTTTGCTTTTCTTCACGTTTTGAAGGTTTCTGAACATTTTGGCATAACTCAGAAAAAATGGAAGTGTGTGTGTTTTGTGTGTCCGCATTTTTTCGTTCACGTTTTCGGGCGCACGTATCAACCGATTTGAATGGTTCAAAACACATTTGATTCCTAATGATAGGGAGATGTGCTGATTAGGTCAGCCGTTGCGGAGATACGAATCAAAGGGTACAGAAAATAGAAATCGAGTTTTTGAGAAAATGAAACATCCGATTTGATTGATCCAAAAAGCTTCAATTTGTAATGATGGTGAGAAGTGGTGATTAGTTTTTGGCAACGGCAGATCCAATCGTTTCGGAGATACCAAGCAAAATGTTCAAAAAATATCTGTTATTGAGAAAACTAAGCATCCGATTTGAATGATTCAAAAAACTTTCTACGTGGATTTTAATTTGAATTCTGTCTAATGTTTAAATGCTTACTTATATACTTGAAACAAATAATTTTAACTTTGTAATTCAGTTTATGTATTTCTTATAAATATTAGAAAATATCCTTTATTTTAAATTTGATTGATTAAATTTGGTTTATTTACTTTTCTGTAAACATATATAAGTTACAGTATTTATAATTATCTATTTGGAAACATTTAATTTTCCTCGAATCTTCCTTACGGTACGGGAAGTTCCAGCAATTTGCCTTAAGTTACAATGCCATACACCACTAGTTTTCTTTCTTGAATCATAAATGATTATTATGATTGTTATTATTGTCAATATTTGATTTATATAAATTATGATTAACTGATGATGATGATGATAATATGATTTAGAATTTTATTCCTCGGTGTATATAAATGTATATTAGTGTAAATTTTGAATTCTAGTTTGAGAACAGGATAATAATTTTATTTTATTGTATCTTTACGATTTTGTTCAGCTATTTTTCCTATTTTTTTTTTATACCAGCTTATAAATGTCATTTCTTTTGAAAAGTTTATATGATTACTTTGAAGTGATATATTAATATTTTTTTAAATCATCAATTTTTCTTTTGAAAATCAGGGCTGGCGAAAGGCGATCTGCTAGGTCTGCAAAGCCTTAGGGCATTATATAAATATGTTAACGAGTGCATATAAATATGTCTAAAAAAATCACTCTGTGTATTAATTAATATTGATTAAATAACTTAATAATTTATTAACTTCGGTAGAGTAAATTATATATAGTAATCGCAAAAAAATCGAAAGTGAAAATTTTTATATATCTATACGTTTCAGAGGTTTCTGAATTTTGGCATCCTATTTGAACAAAACATTCGATTCGTACTGAAAGACGTGCTGATTAGTTTTTGGCAAAGGCAGGTCCAGCCGTTTCAAAGATACGGGACAAAAAAGCCAAAAATTGTAATTTAGTTCTTGAGAGAACAAAGCGTCCGATTTAAATAATTCAAAAAACATTTTATTTGTATTGACTAAACGAAGAACTGTTTTTGGAATGACAGGTCTAGCGGTTACAGAGATTCAATAAGAAAAAGTAAAAAAATGACATTTGGCGGTCCAAAATAATCATTAGACATATTCACGTTAAATTATCTGATATTTTCTAGAGATTTTAATAATAAGAACAAATTTACATTTCTATGGGTTTCGTATCAATGTGTATCCGTTAGACTGCAACGTGACGCTTACGCGCTTCGATATTTCGTCTCTAAAACAGCTGCGCAGCGCAATTGATTTGAAAAAAAAGTTACAACTTTTCAACAAATTTCAAAATATAAAAAAAAAATTTAAATCTTTTTTAAAAATTTTATGTTTCGGTACGGAAAGTGCCAGCAATTTACCTTAAGGCACGATGCCATGCACCACTAGTTTATTTGTATTAATTTATGAAAACTAACTATTTGACTGACTTATAATTGAAAGGGCGGCAATCTGGAGATCGCCCCGAGCGGCAAAAGTTCTAGGTACGCCACTGGGTGTGCATATGTTTAATGATCATTTTTGATAGCTAAGCAAAATGTCATTTTTTTAAAAACTTTTTTTCTGTATCTCCGACACTGCTCGACCTGCCTTCCCAAATTGTAACCAATTTTTGATTTTGTCCATAAAAGTAAAATGTTTTTTTAATCATTGAAATCGGTTTAATCGTGCTGTCGAAAACGACGGCGAGAAATTATATACGTACATACATAAGCAACACACACCGACATCAAATTTGTTTAAGGCATGCCAAAATGTTCAGAAGTCTTGAAATGTAAAGATATCTCGACATCTCTTCAAAAATGGCTAAACCGATTTCAAAAATTTAAAAAGCATTCGATAAAACTTTATCAAATCTTTAGCTAATCGCGTTGTTTTTTTATATGATCAGCATGGCTGTTATTTTGAAGTTTGAATTAAGCGTCTGCGCTTTTAAAAAATACTCCATGGCACTGTGTGTAATAAAAAAATTGTACAAAATTAAATGATCTGCAATAGTTTTTCACATTATGGGCTCTACACCAACTCGGTATACTTATAAATCACTCGCAATTATGTCTGGAAGTTCATGCAACTTGCCTTAAGGAAAAATGACACTTACAACTAGTTTGAGGGGTTAAGGGTACTTGGAATATTTGAAAAATCAATATTTATTTTTTAGCATTTTCGTTAAGTGTAATATCTTGAAAATATTCTTTGAAAATTTCAAGTTTATCCGATGATTACTTTTTGGGTTATTAGGCTCTTACCAACACGCCGAAGCAAGTGGAATGCTTGATACTTATACTCAAGAATATTCTCCCTTACCTTCTGATGTTTTAAAAGCTACTAAACCGATTTACGATGATCTCAGCAATGATAATTTACTTACAAGATGTGTAGTTCAAGATTGAATCCATAATCAGAAAAAAATTGAGAGCTTCAACCAACTAGTGTGAAAAATATGCCCAAAAACCGTGATATATACATATACATAATCATTATTATTGATTATATGACCTAATTGTGGGTATATTTCCTTTTGGTGAAAAATTGGATGCTGCACGTGTGAAAGTGGCAGATCAGCGCGCCAACGAAAATGTTTCGTAGGCAACAGCAAATAGAAATTTTGGAAACTTCCACGATGACTATTAAATGGCCCAGAATTAGATGACTCGGTTTAAGTAATTCAATAATTCGTATTTCTGTACGTAAATCCAATGTGAAAATTTAAACGCGTTTTTCTCAAAACTATTTTTTTGAACTGGTGACAACTGTAACTCAAAAACCGCTTATGTAAATTTTAATTAAATTTATACAGCTTTAGAATACATAACAAACTCGGGCCTGATCGAAGGATTTTTATTTTTTTTAAAAAATTAAACTTTTTAAGACCAATTAACTGTTGATTTTTTTCGAAAAATCAATTTTTTTTCATCTGATGCCACCATCTTAATTTTTGAAAAAATAAGAAAAGCTTCGATCAGGCTCAGGATTATCTATTTATAATACTATTTTTACTTATTCGATTGATTTTAGATAAATCTCCAAGGAGTTATGACTGTCACCGCCAGAACTGTTTTTTAAACTGGGTCAACAAAAATAGCTATAACTCTGGAAATATTTTTTTTTCTGAAATTTTTGTTATTTCATGTCAAAATATTATATGATAATGTCGTATTACTATTATTGTAAAAAACATCGTTTAATAACAAAAAAATACTGAAAATTCTCATTTTTTGTGTCTCTGAATACCCCTAACCACTTAAGGTTTGTATTGATACAGTTTTAACGATATAGATTTTTAGTTTCTAAACTACCAAATGACATTCATAAAATTAACTAGTGGGGTGTATGGCATCGTGCCTTAAGGCAAATTGCTGAAACTTCCCGTACCGTAACGAAATGTTCGAGGAATACTGAATGTTTTCAAATAGATTATTATAAATATTGTAACATTGTCAAATATTTAAAAAATTTTAAAGTTAAAATTATTTGATGAAAGTATATTAGAACTTTAGTCAGGATTAAAATCTGAATTATTTTCGATACAAAAAAAACTAAAAAAACAAAAAAAATGATACAATTTTTTTTTCCAAAATCAATTATTTTGTTGAAACAAGCTGAAAGTTCTTTGAATCATTTAAATTGGACGCTTAGTTCTCTCAAAAACTGCAATTTTTTGCAGATTTAGCTCTGGATCTTCGAAATGGCTGAGCCTGTCATTGTGAAAAACTAATAATCACTTCTCCCAATCATTACTAATTGAATGTTTTTTAGATCATTCAAATCGAATGATCCGTTCACTCAAAAACTCGATTTCTATTTTCTGCATTCTTTGCTCCGTATCTCCGTAACGGCTAGACCTGCCTTTGCCAAAAACTACTCAGCACATCTCCCTATCAATAGAAATCGAATGTTTTTTCAACCATTCAAATCGGTTGATCCGTGCGCCCGAAAACGTGGACGAAAAATTGTATCCATACATACATACACACACACATCCATTTTTTCTGAGGTATGCCAAAATGTTCAGAAACCTTCAAAACGTTGAGAAATGTAAAAATTTTCAATTTCGATTTTCGGCCCATTACAATAACTTACCCTACGGGAATTTAATAAATACTAATAATAAATTTATATCGTATGCACTGATGCTATACGTTCGTAGAATTCGTAAGATTATTGTAAGTAATGAATATTATACTAATATCGCTGGTTAACGACAAATAAGATCATTCGTATTATCTCAAATATCACATTCTATTATCTCACCATAATTGGCCTCACTATGCTTATCCAGCGACCTGGAGCTGGTGTGTCTCGAGTGCTGCCGACAATCCAGGGAATAGTTCCTGTGACGATTGTCGGCACTGTTATTCGACATGGTGCTCCCGGCCCGGTGGTGACGGTAGGAACCAGTCATGATGTCCCTATCGCAGGAAATCATACGCATTCGTTCGGCTACGGTGGTCTTGAAGAAGATGTCGTGCAGCTCGTGGCATGCCGAATTTAACTGAAAGTACCAAAATCAAATTTTGAATTGTTATACAGATTTAAGGATCCTTGATGTGAATGACGTTTTACTTGCTTGCTAGTTGTTGTTGTATCGTTTTTCCGATTTGTATACTTGATTTAATCCAATTATTTACTACCGTACTCGTAACAAATAAATCTAAGAACAAGGACATGCACATGTAGTATATTATGCTACGGGCGTTGGCCATGAAACGAAACATTAACACTTTAGGGAGGGCTGTCCACCTCAGTGGACAAACATACTCTGTGAGGCACAGGCTATTTTATAAACAATGACTCATTTTGCATCGAAAAGTTGAATAAATTACATATAGCAGTGATAAACAGTGTTGTATTTTGAAAATAATTTTAAGTTATTTTAGTAGTATTTTTAGCCTTTTTCTTTGCTATATGGTCTTTTTTTTAATATTTAAAACGACCGAGCGCTTTTAAATATGGCAAAACGACTGGTAAATTTTGTGAATTAAGCAGTAGCGAAGATGGGTTTCAAATAGACATTCTTACAGACAAATTTTACGAAATTACTATTCGCACCGATGATAGTGATGAATGTGATGATGATATTATCCAACCAACAAAAAGAAAAAGAAGTTCGATAAAATAAATGAAGAGCGGAAAGACATTAGCGAATGTGCCGATTCTCCTTCAATAATCGAGTTTGACATACATCAACAAACACCCCGACTACAAATACCAAGCAATATAAGATCCAATAGGTTATTTGCTTTATATTTTACAAATGAATTATTAGACAATATAATAGAAAAAATAAACCATTATGGCAACAAAAAAATAACCAAATATATTGACTAATCAGTGGCATATTCTAAATGCGAGTGAAAGAAAAAGGGATTGTATTGTCTGTTCTGACAGATCAAAAATAAATTAATATTATAAATGTATGTCCTTCAATGACCACAAATTTTTATCAAACAAATTGCATAACATACACAATGAAATCAAGTTTACAGCCGGTAAAGTGGATTGTTTTGAAATCGGTGCCGTCCCAAAAGTGTTAATTTTTTTTATGATTAAAACATTTTCATTTTAAACCCTCACCATTCGGCACTAATTTAAAAGCAATCTACTAGCAACTCGGTGCCGCATTCTGACGAAAACATATGTTTATGCAATTCGTTTGCTATGACTGTGTGAGCATTGGAAGTATTAAGGTCGTGACAGTTTTCTTATCACTGCACAGAAAAGTGTAATATCAAATCAAATTATGTGTAGTATATCATTTTTTATATTTTTGTTTCTATGAAAATATTGCTTTATGAATTATTATTTGGTCATATTACCGTTTTTAGAAAAAAAAGATTATAAAATAATGAAGGTTAAAAAATACTTTGAATATAAATAATAGTGAATTTTGAGAAGAGAATGCTGTATTATCACATATTCTGTAATTTTTTTAAAGTTTATATTCTAATTTATTTTGAATCGTTTGGAAGTAATGTATATGTTGTATGTGAACGCAAATTTTGAATGCTTTCCCGAAAACGAGTACGGCGATTTTGAATATTTGAAAGCAAACTGATACAACGTGCCGAATATATCATTGATTTAAGTTTAAGTTTTGAATTGTTGTTGAAATTAATTAATTAGCAACAGTCGACTGACCTGTTGAATGAGCCTGCGATGCAAATCGGCATCGGTTGTCTTGATTCCGCCTTCGCCGTGCAATTTCAAGGCGCAGAGCAGCGTCTCCCTGATGGCGCGTTTTATCGAACAAACTTTCTGCGTCCTCAGCAGGCGGCGGACGAGGAACGAACGGGCGGCCGCACAAATCACCGTCGAGGCGCGGTCCTTCCTCTAACAATATAACACAGACACATCATAACACAAACGACCAAATTTACATTCATTTCCAAAATATGTTCTATACATAACAAGACAACACGATCTTTCTAACGGAGCAATCTGTTCATATACATTTCTAAATTCCTATTTAACAAAAATGTTAACACTTACTTATATCTATCGGTGTGAAAGAGGGTGGGGAGTATATCGTCCTTCATGGATTGATTGCACAATATTTTTTAATAATTATAGACCAAATATAAAATATGAAACCAATTCTGATATTTAGGTAAAGAATCATGTAGATTTAATATGAGCTATACAAATAATATGCTTGTACTAAATGTATTTACTAAATATATAAATACTACTCATAATATATTTAGTGCAATATTATTCTTTGCATAGAAATTCTATTTGTAAACATGATATCTTGGCTTGGTTTCCTACAAAACACAAAAATTTGAAATACTTGTGACCAGTGCTGGATTTACAATAGGGGCAGTCGTGGCTACTGCCTGGGGTGGCAGTTTTTCGGGGGGGGGGGGCAAAATTTTGATAAGGAGAAAAAAAATGCTATACTAATTTTTTAATAACATTCAAGAAATATAATTAACAAAACATAATACGATTGCAATGCAAAATTTGGGTTCAAACAGCCAATTATTAAAATTTATTATTTTGCTTTGCCTCCCTCTCCGAACGTAAATTATCAAATTGGTTAATAAGTTATTATCAAATTTGGCAATTTGGCAATTTGGATAATATAAAGTTTCGTAAACGAGCTGAAGGTTTAAGAAAAATATGTTCTTCAAATTTCCAGCCCACTTAGGACGACAAATTTATGCACTTCCAAGCTTATAGCGCCGAAAAAAATTTAAGCTAATGACTCATGGCATTGTTCCATTAATTATTGCAAATAACTGGAATTTCTCGTACTGAAAATTACATTGTATAAAGAGCTTTAAAATTTTTAGAAAAATGAAAAAAAGCCCTTTTAAAAACTTTTTTTTATATGTATATTGAAATTTTTTGAAAATTATGAACTTTTTTCAAAGCAATCGCACTGCGTAGCTCAATTTCCAATTTCCGAAACCGCTGGTTCTGTTTGTGCCAAAAACTAATCAGCATGTCTCCCCATCAATACAAATCTAATATTTTTTAATTATTCAAGTCGATTTCGAGAACACGGATCAACCGATTCGAATGATTCGATTTCTATTGATAAGGAGACGTGCTGATTAGTTATTGGCCAAGGCAGGTCCAACTGTTTTGAAGATACAGGCCAAAATGCCAAAAACGGTAATTCCGTCTTTGAGAAACGGAGCGTCCAATATCGTTAAAAAAATTGACATATATTGGCAAAATGAGCGATTGTTTTTAAAAAAGTTCAATATTTCAAAATACAAAAAAACTCAAAATTTTTTAATTTTTCAGTTTTCAATTTTTTTTTATTTTAATTTTAATTTTTGGTACAGGAATAATATATAAAAACAATTTAAGTACAATTTCAGGGATGGGGCGCCATTTTTGTCAGTGCCCCAGGGCGCCAAAATTCTAAATCCGGCCCTGCTTGTGACACACAGTATTTAATGAAACCGAGACATTTGGCATCATAAAATGTTCTTTATGCTATATCAAAGCTGCGTTCACTAGACCATTAATTTTATAAATCAACTCGATTGACTAATATCTGTTAATTCATAATCTATATCTAAGATTCTAAATAAATGTACGATGCATATACACTAACTAGTGGGGTGGGTGGCATCGTGCCTTAAGGCAAATTGCTGGAACTTCCCGTACCGTAACGAAATGTTCGAGGAATATTGAATGTTTTCAAATAGATTATTATAAATATTGTAACATTGTCTAATATTTATAAGAATTATATAAACTGAATTGCAGAGTTGAAATTAATTGTTTAAAGTATATTAGAACTATAGTCAGAATTAAAAATAAAATCTGAATTATTTTCGATATACAAAAAATTAAAAAAAAAAAAAAAAAAAAAAAAAAAAAAAAAAAAAAAAATGGGACAAAATTTTTTTTCCAAAATCAATTATTTTGTTAAGACAAGCAGAAAGTTCTTTGAATCAATTGAATCGGACGCTTAGTTCTCTCAAAAACTGCCATTTTTTGTACATTTAGCTCTGTATCTCCGAAATGGCTGGGCCTGCCTTTGCGAAAAACTAATAACCCCTTCTCCCAATCATTACTAATTGAATGTTTTTTAGATCATTCAAATCGGATACTCCGTTCTCTCAAAAATTCGATTTCTACTTTCTGCACTCTTTGCTCCGTATCTCCGAAACGGCTGGACCTGCCTTTGCCAAAAACTAATCAGCTCTTTTCCCTATCAATAGGAATCGAATGTTTTTTGAACCATTCAAATCGGTTGATCCGTGCGCCCTAAAACGTGACTGGAAATTTGTATCCACACATACATACACACACACACACACACACACACACACACACACACACATCCATTTTTTCTGAGGTATGCCAAAACGTTCAGAAACCTTCAAAACGTCGAGAAATGTAAAAATTTTCAATTCCGATTTTCGGCCCATTACAATAACTTACCCTACGGGAAGTTAAAAATAACAACAATTTCGAATAAAAACCACAAATATTCATTCAATGACATTATAAAGGGTTTGGTCTAAACTCCTGTATGGTTTTTCCATACAGAATTGGCCCCACCCTGATATTAAAATGATTTTGATGTCATTTTATAGCTCTTTTCGAAAAAATCCGATATACAAATTTTCAACTACCTGGCTCATCATTTGGCAGAGATATAACTGAAAATATGCGCAATATGATCATGCAAGCATTCCTAAATAAAAATGAACTAGTTGTGTATGGCATCGTGCCTTGAGGCAAATTGCTGGAACTTCCCATACCGTAACGAAATGTTCGAGAAATATTAAATGTTTTTAAATAGATTATTATAAATACTGTAACATTTGTCTAATATTTATTTATAAGAATTATATAAACTGAATTACAAAGTTAAAGTTGTTTATTTAAAGTATATAAGTGAGCTTTAAACCTTCAGTTAGAATTAAAATTGAAATCTAAATTAGTTTCAATATACAAAAAAAACTCCAAAAGCAATTGTTTTGTAAACACAAGCAGAATTTTTTTGAATCATTCAATTCGGATGCTTATTCCTCTCAAAAACTGCAATTTTTTGTATATATAGCTCTATAGTTTCGAAATGGCTGGACCTGCCTTTGCCAAAAACTGATAACCGTTGCTCCCAAGCATTACTAATTGAATGTTTTTTAAATCATTTAAATCGGATGCTCCGTCCTCTCAAAAACTCGACTTCTATTTTCTGCACACTTTGCTCTTTATCTCCGTAATGGCTCAACCTGCCTTTGCCAAAAACTAATCAGCACATCTCCCTATTAATAGGAATCGAATATTTTTTGAACCATTCAAATCTGTTGATCTGTGCGCCCGAAACACACACATACACACACTAGGCTTGCAACGAATAGTATATTCGGCAAAATGCCGAATACCGAATATTCGACATGCTCCAAAGACCGAATACCGAATATTCGGCAACTATTCTCACTAATAGCTCTTTATTTGGAAATTTTTAGATTTAATATAATGAATGACATTATTGTATAGATACAGCACATGCGTTAAACGCTTGAATGATTCACATTAAATAATATAAACATGTAACAATAAAGTACCTTGTGAATATTCAGAAAAAAGTTGTTCGCGTAATCATTTATAATGTCAAAAATCGATAAAGTTTAAATTATTATATAAACAATTACTAATTCATTTATATTATTATATATCATATTATATATACTAAATACAGATCCATTGCTTTTTTTCGCATAAAAGAAAAGACACCAACACGACTGTCGCTGAGCGGCGGCGGTGCCTTTTATTTTAACTATTCGGTATTCGGCCGAATATTAAAAAAGGTGCCAAATATGCCGAATACCGAATATTAACCGAATATTTGGTGCAAGCCTAACACATACATATCCATTTTTTCTGAGGTATGCCAAAATGTTCAGAAACCCTCAAAACGTCGGAAAATTTTCATTTTCGATTTTTAGCCCATTATTATAACTACCCTACGGGAAGTTAATATATTTATTTTACGCATACAAACATATTAAATATTCAAAATATAAATGTACATTTGGAAAGAGGCCTCTTTCGCATATTTTCAATGATATCTTGGCCAAATGATAAGCTAGGAAGGTGAAAATTTGTATATCGGATTTTTTATAAAAAAGCTATAAAATGGCACGAAAATTTAAATACCAGGGTAGGGTTAAATCTATCTGAAAACAAGACCAAACCCTTTGTAACATGTTTTAAACAAGCATCCTTATGCATTAGTTTTGAAATTTTCAGTAATTAACTGGAATATATTTTTAAAAAACATTGGTCTATTGTTCAGCATGTGAATTTCAAATTATAATTTGTTCATTAATTCAAGTAATAGTTGTATAACAATGTTTAAATAATATGCATTAATAAAATGCTATACACAACCAATTTTGATTACTAAAACTTACCTCCATTTCTGGATCAACAAACTGTTCCTGTTTTACTTCATGGAACACTTCACCTTTCACTCGATGCAAACTAGTACAATAGGAAATTGTTCTGTTGCAAGTTTCCACAGAAATATTTGTTTGACTAGAACCGTCTTGAAGATCACAATCCAACTTTTTACCATAATCACCAGTTTCTTCATTTATGTCTTCAATTTTCAAATCTTCAAAGCATTGCACTGATTTTTTATAATCATCTAATTTTGATTTAATTGGAGTATCAATTGGTGTACAATATTGTTCAGAATCGTCTAAAGTGGAGTTTGGTGTGAATTCTTGTAAATCATTACTGTTCAAGTTATGTGCAACACTTGATGTGATACTAGAAAGACATTCTTGGGAAAGTTTTGCACTTGGATATCGGGATTCCGCATGAGAACCAATGGAAGAGTTTGCACATTTTAATAAATCCTTGGATTCAGAAAGTATAACCTCAGATGACCTAATAAAATCACTGCCATTTTCAGAACATTTATCTTCAAAACCATGAACATTATTATCTCTATTTTGAAGACGCGATATTTCAGGATCAGAATTTTCAGAACTTGCATTACAAAATTTAGGCAATGAATACGATTTATGTATTTCATTTAAAAGAACTGCTTGGTGTTTTTCAAAAGCTTGTTTTAACAATTCTTGATCAACTTTTTGCTGATCTATTAGTTTCTGCATTTGTGCTGTGTGATTATTTTGAATTGTTTCTATTAGATTTTGAATGCTTTTCTGGGCTTCTAAGGGTATTATAATTTCACTTAGACGTGAAGTTTTCTGAGATAAATTTTGTTCTGTAACTGATCCGTTATAAGATTCATTGCAATGGGATGTTTGATATGATTCATCTCTCATTAATGTTTCAGCTTCGATAGTATTTGCTTCTATTGTAGTTTCTAAATCATTAGTTTCTTCGCTAGGGTTTGAAGAGCCAGAATTGGAGGAGACACTGTAAATGCTGCCAGATTGTCTATTCATGGGTTTAGTTTGAGATGAATATATAAATTCAGTAGAGCTTTGATCAGATACATATTCTGTATTCAAATCAGATTCATAAGCAGTTTTGGGCACAATTGAATACCCATTGTAATTTTTTTTATCAGCATATTTCATCGGCAGTTTTCTTTTAATACCTATTTTGGTCTGTCCAATGTTATCACCACATCCTCCCATATGATTATTTTTGGTAACCCATTTATTACCTTTACCATTTTCAAATATTCCTTGTTTCTCTAGTTGGGCTTGCAACAGAGGACTTGGTTCATCAAGTGTATAGGAATTAGATCTGACTAAGACAGGTACTGAAGTAAAATGTTTAACTTCCAAATTATCCTTTACATAAGTACTTTGATTTGGACACGAAGAGGTATAATCTAGTTGCTTATTTTTATTGCAAACATTTTGATCTGTAGTTGTATTAGAAGATAAAGGTTCAGCATAAACTAATTCATAGTTATAGTCTCCACAATGATAAAAATTTGTATTAGCTATTTGTTGCTTGCTGTGACTTGGTGTTTCTGATTTATTTTCCTTCAGTAATCGTATTCTTTCTTCAACTGCTAAAGCTAGTTGTTTGTAATAAGCCATTTCCTTTCTTTTTTCAGGGGTCAACTGAAAAAAGTATAAGCAAAAACTTTAAAAATAACACAAACTACATTAAATTCATTATGTTTTGCACAATCGTTGCACAAAGATAATGAAAAATTAAGTTTGTGTTCATAAGGATGAACAGCACTGCAAAGTAATTGAAAAGCCAACCATCATTTTTCTCTATTATTGCAATTGACTAGGATTCTTTTGTATTAGAGTTTTATAAAAATATTGCTTATTACGGTTATCTGTATAGAATTAAATAACTATCAAAACCTTTAAAACAATACAATTAGGACAATAAAAATTTCATAACTAATATAAATATAAAAAAAAACTCACCAGAGGAGGTAATATTGGAACTCCATCAATTTTAAAACATGAAGTATAATTTGTGGACGGATGTTTTTTAGACATTTTTGGAGCAAATGATCTTTTAATCCGGTAACGACAACATAAAACTTGAACTCTTCTTGAAATATATTATTATAACCACAAGTATTTCATTAATTGTTATTCGTACATCGTTCACTTATAGTACGTCAAACGCACTTATTAAAACAAAATCTTTGTCTAATCTCAAAAAACATATTTCTAGGTTATATTTTGTAACATAACTGACAAATGACAATTGCCACTGACATACAATTGTTTACGTGTGAAGTATGCACAGAAATTAAAATGTAGCTGTCATGGCCATAGAGCATAGATAAAAGAAGAGTTCAATTTTATGAAGTTATCGAAAAGTTATTAAATTAGCCCTTTGAACACTTTGCTTTGAATTCTCTTCTGATGCTGTAAATATATGAATTAATCAAAAAGATATATTTTTAGGTTATGTCTCGACGTTTCTCAGTTGACATTTATGATATGCTTGCGCAAATACTTAAACTTGAGCCGTCTGTTGGCACTGTGAAAATACGCTTGGTTACGCATTCATTCAGTTGCACATGTTACGTCCATAGATAAGTAAACGTCTGTGGCCGGTTTTAAGATTGGTACTAGGGTTTATACAAAAACCGACATTTCAGAAAACCGGTTTTAACCGGTTTTCGAATTTCATATAGAAAATCAATTTTTGCTCGAATATTTTGTAATAACAAAAATTTATACACAAATTCAGTGTGATTTAAAGCAGAATTTGACTGAATTAATTTATTGTTCAATTTTATGAATAGTAAACAAAATTATTTTAATTTTAATTAGTAGAATAAAACAATAATAGTTTATCTGGATTAAATAACTTTAAAAATAACCATTCGTTATTATATATTTATATTTTATGATAGTGGATATATGTTTTTATCATAGTGAAAGGAAAGTTTTCGAATAATTGAAAAAAAATACATTTTTAAATAAAAAACATTTATTAATTAAAACAAACAAAAAATTACATACATTACAACAATGAAATTATTCCGTCCAAAGAATCAATAAAGTATCTCGGCATTCACTTAGATAAGAAACTCAACTGGAAAGTACACATAAAGAACAAAAAACAACAAATAGATCTAATCTTCAAAAAATATTATTGGCTCCTAAACAGAAAATCAGAATTATCAACTTACAACAAATTACTTATATATAAGGCTGTGATCAAACCCGTGTGGACCTACGGATTACAACTTTGGGGTACTGCTAAAAAGAGCAATTTAAACATAATACAACGAGCACAAAACAAATTCCTGCGGCAAATATTAAACGCTCCTCACTACACGCCAACATGGATTCTCCACAAAGACACGGGTATACCTACAATTCAAGAACATATATCAATGTTTGCCTGTAATTATAAGAATATAATTGACGCACATCCAAACCAACTAGCATGCAACTTATACCAGGAAGGCCAGCCGACCAGGCTCAAAAAGAAAATACCTCAAGATTTAATATTTTCTCTTTATTTGTCTTTAGTTTTTTCTTTTTTATATATTAACTAGCAAACCCGACGAACTCCGTTTCGCCACCAGTTGGTTTCGTGAGAAAGATGAAATTTTTTTTTGCTTGTTTTATATTTGAAAAGAGAAAATTAGATTTTGTTATACAACAGTAATGAATTTCGATGACATAAATGAAGTGTTTTAAGTTGAAATTCTTTAAGTAAATGAAAGTGAATCCGCAAATTATCCGTTTCATTGAAGTGCTCTTTGGTAAACCATATTTTTCGTTTTTTGGTCTGACGTTAACACAAACAAAGCAAATGGTTTTTCAACTCGTGAATAGGCAACGTCTAACTGCCCATGTGAAAAACAAAGATTTTCTAAATAATCTAGTTGAAATTTATCCCGCAAACACTAAGCGATTGGCCTTGCGACTTGTTAATTGTCATTGCGGACGCAAGGCGCACTGGAAATTGCAATCGTTTGAAGTCAAACGGAAGACCAGTCGGAATCATTGGTATGTCACCAAATCGCCAGCAATTTCTGATTGAATGGTGAAATTCAGTGCGTGTACATTATTCTTTGCGGCAAGAATTGCTCGTTGACTTAACCAAGCATAATTCTGATAATTCTCACTAATGTCATTACTCGAATTTTTAATTACGGTGCGTGAAGTTCCAGCAATTTGCATTAAGGCACGATGCCATGCAACACTAATTTTCTTAGCTATAAACCTTGCGGAGCCCGAGACCTTTCCAATGAATGCAAAATTCTCAAAATCGATTCGTGCGTTCTGGAGTTATTCCGTCAGGAAGGAAAACCCAACTTATTTTTATATATATAGAAGAAGAAGATAATCTATTTTAAATTATTTAAAACAATTATTGATTATTTTTATCACTCGAATTTTTAATTACGGTGCGTGAAGTTTCAGCAATTTGCATTAGGGCACGATGCCATGCACCACTAATTTTTTTAGCTATAAACCTTGCGGAGCCCGAGACCTTTCGAACAAATGCAAAATTCTCAAAATCGATTCGTGCGTTCTGGAGTTATTTCGTCAGGAAGGAAAACCCGACTTATTTTCATATATATAGAAGACTATAGTAGATACACCACTGGGCGTATCTACTAATTTGTAAACAATCAGTTGTAAATACTTGTCAGCATTCTCTGCTAAATATAATTATTTTTATAGATTGCAGAATAAAAATTAAAAAAAAATAAATAAAAAATGTTGATACATAGTTGTTAATATCAATTGTAGTTTTAAAGACAATTTAAAACATAAAGAAAACCCCGAGTATTTTCTATTCCGAGCAATTCTTATAATTAATTTTAAAAATTCTAATTATTTTTTAAAATATGATTTCAAAAAACTGAGAACATCTATTGATTTGTTACTTAGACGTGTCCTTGTTTGCTCACAAAATTTTCCAAAACAGAAAATACTCTCTTACTTGCGACCGAACTAGACTTAATTGCTTTTAAAGCTTGATATAATAATCCTAAGTTTTTGTTCTTTTATTTGTGGTTTCAAGGGCTAAAAACTCTTTTTTGAAGTTTGAGTAGAGGAAGTTTCTTCTTCAAGAAGTCACACTGATTTAAATTAATATACACGCTGGTATAAAAACTAAATCAATATATACATTAGACAAAAAGATAACACAAAACCTTTCTGGGAACCATAGCAGACTAATAAGATTCCAAATGCTAATCAACCGATATGATTCCAAGAATCAAAACGCTTGAAACTTTGGATATATTTGTCATTTCTCATTTATACAGTGAAAACCGACTTTTTCTACTAAAAAAACAGTTTTCGAATTCCATAATTTTTGTCAGAAAACCGGTTTTTGTAAACCGACAAACCCTAATGGGTACGAATACGAATATTGTCTAGGCAGGGTAAAATCATGAAACAAGTTTCCGGTTTCTGTTTCAATTCACAAGTTGAATAAATGATGTGATGCATCATGACTAAACTAATAGTGTATGGCATCGTACCTTAAGGCATATTGCTGGAATTTCCCGTACCAAAAATTATTTTTTTTAAAAAGGATTAAAAATACTTGCTTTGAAAAAAATTATTTTTGAGAAATTTGAAATTTTGAAAAAATTGACTATTTTGATAAAAAAGATTTCTTTATATTCTGAAATATTTTGGAAATTTTGAACAAAAACATCCATTTTTTCTGAGGTATGCCAAAATGTTAAGAAACCTTTGAAACGTAAAGATATGCAAAAATTTTCCTTACAGGAGTTTAATAAGCATAAGTGATGCACAGCGTCAGAAATTTTTATAAACTATTTAATTCCGTATAAGTTTCTCAAATTTATCTATTATATAAAAATAAGTCGGGTTTTCCTCCCTGACGATATAACTCCAGAACGCACTAACCGATTTCGACGATTTTGCATTCGTTGGAAAGATCTCGGGCTCCGCAAGGTTTATAGCTAAGAAAATTAGTGGTGCATTGCATCGTGCCTTAATGCAAATTGCTGGAACTTCACACACCGTAATTAAAATTTCGAGTAATAAACATAATCAATAATTGTTTTAAATAATTGCAAATATATATAAAAAAATATATATATAAATAAGTCGGGTTTTCCTTCCTGATCAAATTTTTCCTTTTCAAATATAAAACAAACAAAAAATTTCTTCATTTTTCTCACGAAACCATCTGGTGGCGAAACGGAGTTCGTCGGGTTTGCTAGTTATTTATATAGTTCACGAATCGTTCAAACATTATAAATGAAAGAAACATTTTAAGTTATTGCAAGCGCTTTATTTAGTAACTAACTGATATTTATCTTACTTTGCACACACTCATTAATTATAACTAAACAAGATTCAGTATACTTTAGTAATCATTATTGATTCTAGAACAAATTGTATATACAGTTTATATCAGTCATCGTCAAGTTAATATTGTAAATATATAAAAATTGTTATAAATATTTGAAATGTATTAACATTCGTTTATTCGGCTTATATTTTTTATTTAAAATTAAATTTACAAATAAAATTCAATTTACATACCATTTATCCCAGCTATTAATTTTGACATATTTGATAGTAATTGATGAATCAATATATGTTAAGTATTGTAAATATTCTGGATTAGTAGATCTACTTATGAATGAAAATACATTTAAATGTTATGGTCTTATGGATATTTTTTTTTTGTTTATTTTTATTTCTTTACAAATAAACTATAAAATTAGCAGACTGACTTTTATTGTCAGTGCCATATTTTTATAAGTTTCATGATTTAGTATATTATATTTGATGAGCATGCGACATGATGAAATTAATTAAGAATCAAAGGCTCTAAAAAGATTTTTAAAATACTTAGTAAATAACAGTGAATTTTAAAAATACAAAATTTTGATTTATAAAATATTATTATTATTTTTTTTTTTTTTGCATACTTTTATTGTCAATCAAAATTAAATACATTTTTTAAGACAATGTGATGTTGGTTTTAATGCATATAAGAGATTATCTCCTATGAGATATCTCTCTTTTATATTTTTATTTTTGACATTTATTTAAGGTCGAATGGCCATTTTTTTTTCAATCTGCGTGTCGGATATTCCTCGTTTAACTCTTTTAAATAAGTGTTTGGGTGACCTGGTAGTTTTTCATGGTATCTTTTGCTCCTTTCTTTTAACATTTCATTAATAGTTTTTATTTTTAAGT